ATCACCATTCACAATAATTATAACACCAATGCGCCTGAGTCTAATTAATTAAATCAAGGGTTTACAAATGCGATGGTTAAATACTGCATTTAGGCCTAAATCGGCTAAAAACTACGTCCAAGTGTGGACGCGCCTTTGACTTAAATATTTGCAGATTTCTAATAAGGCTCGATTTTATTAAAGATAAATCAAATAGCATGGAAAAGTACCAAGTTAATAACTAGAGCGACCCTGTTGATTTAACAGCCAAGTCTATAAGCTCTCATTATCAAAATGGACCCTGTCCGTCCGTGGGGGACAAACGGGATCTGTTGCTTCTCAAACACAAAAATATATATTTGGCACATTTATCTCTACATGTTGACTGAAGTGTCACTCTAATGACCCGTGTATCTAAAATTAGCACCTTGTGGGTTTGTATTAATAAGGTAATCGAAGATATCAGATAATAAACAGGGTGCCCCTTTTCATAACAGCTGGTGGGTATAGATCTATTTCAAGGTGTCAGAAGTGTCAGTATCAACAGTGAGGAAAGAGATAGGGGAGATACGTGCCTTTCCTGTAGTAGATCCAAGTCTTGGCTTATAAGTATATCACGTACATTTGTACGTAGGACAAATGGTTAAACTACCCGAACAACACATATGCAAATTTTTAGCGGGAAAGCTGTGCTACGGCGAATTTTTTAGGATCACGAAAACTGAACAAAATATGAAGGAAATTATACAGTATATAAAGTTACTCGGTGAAACCTCTGATCACGCATTCAACATACGTATGACAAATATATGCCACTAAGGCCGCGTTCACAACCACTTGATCCGCAGACTAACTATTCCGCGGACCAAATATGGCGCACACTTAACAGTGGATTCCCGCCTCCCACGTGTGCCGTCCCAGCAGGGGGCAGAGCAATTAAATTTCGCCTCGCTTTCAAGTGGGTCGCACCATACTTGATCCCCGGCCTAGTTAGTACGCGGATCAAGTGGTTCTGAACTCGCCCGAATTCTTCACAGCCTCCAAGGTCACCTAGATTTTAGACGGTTCTTGCTGGGCATGATTCACTGTGGAGGCTATCTCAAGCCCTTGGGGGAAAGGCCAAGGGATGTATACCATCCCAGGCGTGACGAGATAACGCTTAGGCAAAATGAAATAATTTTTTCGTTCTTTTTTTAGGATCGGACGATAAAAACACAATTTTCTTGCCGGTGAAAGATTATTCGATAAGACATAAATGCATTGAAAAGTGCCACAAAGGAAAGGTTGAACTTTCCTTTTCCCTATTTCTTTACATTTTGATTCTAAATCAGATTCAAAGTCAGTCCAATGTTTTGCTAGTCGATTTCCAGAGTCACAAACATATATTTTTCAGGCTATATTGTAAACAAATAACCTTTTTCTACAAGTGCGCGTGCGGTGTGCCAGAGCGCATGCATACGCTTCATGGTATATAACACGCGCGCGGCGCTGCGGACCGCAACATTTCGGCACGCGTGAAACGCTAGAAACATGCACCAGTTCAGGGTGGTGCTACTAGCGGTGGTGGCGATAGCCACGTCGCCGCATGCTGAGGGACAATTACTAACAGGAACAGGAACAAGTTCAGGAACAAAAGGTAATGATTTATTTATTAATATCGTTTTTGCCAAGATTTTGCGTAGGCCTACCGATGGATATATCTCATTTGATTCGGAAAATCCTATGCCCCCCGCTTGAAATTGGGATTTTGAATAGCTGAATCATAGTCGTAAACCACCAAATGACACCGTTCGCCCTCTAAAACACCAAATTTTTTCGAGGCCATCTAGCGGCCCCCGTACCCCACGCCAAGGGGGGGGGGGGGGGGTCTGCTTCGCGGACCCCCTTCAAATAGCCTAATCCTTTAGTAGGCCTATATATACTGCTCCCTTTACTGTATATCAACCTTATAGATCGCATTCACAACGAGTTGAGCCAGGCTTTACAAATCTTAATTGGGGACTAAATATGGCGGACGTACATGAAAGAAAAACCGCATAATCTTTTAATTAACCCATTACAGTGACGTCATATTTGCTCCGTAACACTAGTCCCGCGGCCATGCTGGAGGGGAATAGTAGCGGTAATATAGGTGAACCAAATAAAATAAAATAAACTTCATATCGCGATCAAGTACACCAAAGGGAAAAGGATATATACAAGCTGAAGCTTCAGCTGCTCAGCAGGATCGACCAATATGAACTCAAGACAGTCTAAAAACATGAAATCCTACCAAATGCTACTTATCCAACATCGTGTTGTCAGAAGATAGTTCAGTTATCTTGTACTTCATTTTTCTTGTTCATTGGGTAATAACAGTTATAGTTTGAGAGAGTTTAATGTGTAATCATA